CCCCCCGAATATTGCGGGTCCCCCTCTTGTTCTCCTCTAATTTTCTTGGAAGCCACCTAGTTGTACCCCCACCCCACCCGCATGCTAGCATCTTTGAACTACTTAAAGGTTCACCTGTTGCCTGGTTAAAAAGATACATAATGCCATAGCTTCTATTACCACCTTTCCTGTCTCCAAATGACAAGACCTGATTCTACCACAGGTATTTCCAAGCCTTTGCATACACACTCCAGGGCTCTTTTTGTAGAAAAAGCCCAGCAGGAACTCATCAGCATAATAGGCCACACCCAACAGCAGAAACCCATTAGCATATTAGGCCACACCCCTGACAGCACAGCTCATTAGCACACTAGGCTGCACCCCCATGTTACCAGAAGTGTGGTTATCCAGCCACAACCACCTTTTGCTTGTTATTCTGTTTAGCTTGTTTGTTGTCAAAACCCAGGGCTTCTTTGTAGCAGGAACTCCTTTGCATGTTAGGCCACACACCCCTAACGTAGCCAATCCTAATGAGTTTCTGCTGTTGGGTGTGGCCTATTATGCTAATGAGTTCCTGCTGGGTGTGGCCAACTTGGGAGCCAGCCGGAACTCCGTTCATGTGCGTTCCTGCTCAAAAATAGCCCTGCACACTACCCTTATGCAGTTAGTTGGCTTCATTATCTCTGTCCTTGTAGGACTCATAAGATTGGCTGATACATACAACTTGTGTCTCTTGCCATTACTGCAAGCAGTGAGACCAGTTTGAATTAGAAAGGTGACACTCAAAAAGCTTTTCAAAATTAGGAATAGGTGAGGGAATGCTACCACACCAGCTCTGACCTGTCCCCTTGCAATGGATGCTAGATTTAACGGCAGTTTAGGTTCACATCAACACTACGTCCTCTTTCATAGTCCATGTGGGAGATGAAATTTCGGTGCCCTTTGAAGCTCTGGTTTTACAACACATGTACTTTATAGGCTTCATGGCCCATTGGGCTTCCAATGTGAGCCAAATACAGCTAGCGCATATAACAGCAGCAGCACTGTTAACAGAAGATGGACTTTATATTATTAAATCCTCAGCTGATTTAAACCAGAAGCATTTTCACTATCCAGCAACATCTGTGCCTTCTGCACAATAATCCAAATTGTGCCCCGGGGGTATGTGGGCATGGAATCCACGACAGTGCATTGCCAGCATCTCCTCCATTTAATTGCATTTCAAGTCAATGGTGCTTAAAGCAGAATCTCTGTTTGGCAGAGGTTAGGGACAGATCACAGGTCTATTTTTTGCCTTTCAAATGCTGTTTCCCCACCACCTTTTTGGCATTCTGGTGTACCACAACTTCCACGGTCTGTACCATCTGGAGAACAGACTGATGGGTCCCAAGGGAAACACATTTCAAGCTTGCTGGCCAAACAGGATCGTTCCCATTTGTGTATCCATACATACATGTGCTTGGTTATACTTTCCTTAGCTCACAGTACCATGTCTCCATTTCAAAAAATCTGCGCCGCTAATGGAAAATGCTGAAAGGGGGAGGGAGGGAAACAGAGAGCACACAGACGGAAATACAGCAAGCACCCACCCACTTGCACTTGCCACAGCTGTTCCAGTTGCACCAACAAAGACATGGGTTCCAGTGGGCCGAGCCAAATTCCCATGTGTCTCTTGTACAAAAGTGTCCTGTCAGACTCATCGCTGGTGTCATTTACTGTCCCCATGGTAGCACAAGTCCCGCTGCACCTCCGCTCAGGCCTGTTTCAACTTTGACTCTTGCTTAGCTGCTGTCATTCAAACTCCTTGGACTGCTTTGCCCGTTGTCTGCGCAGCTTCACAAATGCCTGAGCTTCCTTGTCTCCTTTTCGATTCTCCAGCAGCTTCAGGATTTCATTGCCTGGGATAAAACAGAACAGATGGAACTTTCGGCAAGGCACAGAGCTGCTTCTACTGTTCAGACATTTCTCTTAATGTGTAATACTAAATTGGCCTCTCTGCAACTTCAAAAGGCTCATGGTCCTCTGCCTACTTTCAGTGCAAGAGTCCTACCTGGCTAATGTAAGTTTTGTGGCCATCTATCACAAGACCATGGGGAGTAGGGGAGGAAACAGGCAATGAGAACTTCCAAGTCAAAGGGAAGGTTCCCCCCCCCCTCAAATAGCTATCTCCTGCATAACTCTCCACCCTTTGGGATAGATGGTTGCGCCTTAAGCAGAAAGCCAAAAGATATAGATAGAAAATCTCTGGCTGCCAAAGGGAAACCAGATATATAAAACATGACTACTGGATATTTATGCAGATACCATGGAGAGAAAAAAGCAGATTAAAGAGTCCACGGCTTCCATCTCCTAGCCCTAAACACCACTCACTCTGCAATGATTCTAATCTACTTTCTCATTGAAGGTTGCTATGGAAGCAACTTTCCAAGCAACTAGAGGAAGACATTTCATTAAAATGAATGGGCAGAAGGTGATACAAGTATCCCTCTTGACTTTATTGAGCCACCCGTTACGAATCCCAAGTGCTCACAAGGAGAGTAAATGGCTAAACTGTTCCTAGAGCTTCCAGTAAAGTCATAAGCACCCCTAAGAGGTGCAACCACCATTAATAAGAACAGCACTTCAGGAAGGAGACAAAGCCGGACTAGGGCAGTAAAGAGTAATGGCAACCAATCTGCAACAATTTCATTGCCTTTTTCTCTTGAAAAAACCTCTGCCTTTACAATGGGCACACTTAGCCCCAAGTGATGCACTTGAGTCAGGACTAGGGATGGGCACGAACAAAGTAAAATTTGTGCCCAACTTTGGCTGGTTCAGAGTCCTGGAAGTGATGTTCGTCAGAGCATGTGCTCTCCAAACACTCCCCAAACTTTGGGGGCAGTCTGAGTAATGAAAACATTTCCCAGAAACCCCGGCATCAACAGAGCAAACTCAGAGGCAACAGTGGGATGGAATTCTCTCCAGCCTTGGCATATGTGTAGACTATGGGGGGCTAGTGCCTCCCCAAAATTTTCCAGGAGGGACTGATCCTCCCCAGGGCAACCAGTGCAGACAATACTCGCGACGTTTGCAAAAAAAAAAAAACGTGTCCCCCTTCCCACTTTGAAAGCAGGGGTTTTTTTTACCTTTTTAAAAAACTTTTTACCAATTTGCTGGGTGGATGGGCAGACAGGCAGACACTAGCCTAAGTCCCGCCCCCAGCTCCCAGAAGCCCTCAGTCGGGCCAGGAGGAACGGGGAGCAGCACTGCTTGCTGCCGCCACCACCACCACCAGCCAGAAGGGTAAGTTGGTGGGGGTGTAGGGGGCAGGTGCTTGTTTCGTGTGGGGTGGGAGGGTGCTGAGGCCGCAGGCAGCTTGGGCACCCCAGTGCGGGAGGTAGCAGGGGCTGCTTTTCGGGTGGAGTGGGAGGGAGCCGAGGGCGCCCAGGCCATAGGCAGTTTGGGCGCCCTGGTGCGGGGGGGGGGGGGAGCCACCGCCAGCCTGGGGCTCTGCTGGGGCT